TGACCGAGGCTTGCCATCATCATGTGCCACGCCGATGTGCCAAGGAAACCGTTGTCACCCTGTCGTCCAAAATATGAGCGAGAACTTTATTGAAGGCATGCCAGCAGCGACATCCTGCTCCTTGATGGTCAAGCCGAATGGTGGATAACAACGAGCAAAGACGGCACCAGTCGCAGACATGCCCATCCCATTTGACCCAGGTGTATGTCTTATTGAAGGTGGTGACCGGGGCACCTTCCTAGATGCTCCGGTTTTGGCTGGTCGAGACCAAATACATACTTGATGCATTGAACACCTCACCTTGGTTATCCTCGTCCGGCCTATGGAAAATTCGTCTCATCACTGACTTTGGCTGGCTATGGCAATCCCAGTCCTCGGGCTGCAAATGTCGGGTCAGGAAATTCCCCGTCGTACATATCTTTCCTCCGTAGAACGGGTCTTCATTGAGGGGGATTTCGCTAATCGGGGGAATCAATCCCTGCCGACCCGTGTAGGAGAATGATGAAGTGATGACCAGAAGGGGTTGCGCCGCTCTTTCAGGAAGAAATCAACTGCCGCATCTGAAGAAGATGGTGTGCAGCTGTAATCTAAACCTGCGTTGGGCCCTGAGGGGTTCTGTATTGTAATGTCGATATAGCTACTTTGGCGCGTCTGCTCCTTCACCACGCCCTGTAATGCTTCTCGAGTTGACGAGTACGCTGGGCTTCCGTGCAGGTTTTCTGGGGAGTTCCCAGAGTGTTTTACCGGATCATTTCTGGTAGTCCTCCCTACCGATAGGTCCCATTACACTTTCGCGGTTGCCAAGGAGTCTTAATGGAAGAGTCTCGACAGCAGACTTGCTCGTCAAACAAAGCAATATCCAGGCCCCACAGACAACATAGATGTCGCGAAATCTCGCTATGATGGCTACAGTCCAGGCGGAAGCTATCGCCACGGTAGGTTATGAATGACTTTGGAGGAATCTGGTCTTCCAACGCCAGGGCTTAACACTGTACAACCTCGAACGAATCTAGTAACAGCCCGCTACTTGCAAAGCGTTGGAACACGAGCAACGTTCCATGCCTCCGGTGAACCTTTATTTCTCGCTTCAACTGTCTTGCTGACGATACGTATCAAGATCTGGCAACGGGCCATATTCCCTGATCAGGTGTTCAAGACTGTGCAGGGCTTTGGTGGGTGCGGCCAAAGCTCCAACGGCACAGGAATGGTAGTTCAGTGCTTTCCTAGTATGAACACTCAGGGAAGCAAACCTGTCTTGTAGCTTGTCGTCAATGAGGGCTCATGACAGTGATCGAGTGTGTAGTGGAACTACGTGTGCAAAGCACACAGGCTTCAGAATCCCATCTGAAGTAATCTGAGGGCCTCACTGCCGGCAACCCATCTTCTGGATGGGATTGACTACTTTACACACTTGATCGATGCCCAACCTGTGGATGCTATGGAGACGACACGGCAGAGCATCGAATTGAAAGCCCCTGGCCTCCCCGACAACTGAAGGATCCTCCCGTTTAGAGCCGAAGCCAGAACACACGACCCCGACACGCCGTCTCTCGGGGGTGCACAGCGAGACGAAACACCTCGACGCCATCTCACGTGTAATACGGGCACCCAAACACATGGAATCAGGGTAAGAACAGCAAGATTTCAACCCTGACTCCCTGCCCACCGTCTCTGAAGAGGTCTCACGGCAGAAGCAGCTGCCAAGCAGCAGGCCCGGCTTCACAAGTCGAAAGCATCACCCATAAGGCCCGCAACCCAGCCCGTCCCCTTCCTAAGCAGACCAGTGCAACGACACACTCGTCACCCCCGCTCCCCCATCTCGCCTTCCAAAGCTGAAATGTCCCTCCCTCCCCTCCCACCCGTCCACGGGACACAACGTTTCCCAGCAATCCCGTGTCAGGCCGCCAATGAAACGTGCCGCGGCGGCCGGTTCCAGGTAGCTAATCTCCTCGCTTCCTCCGGCGGAGGCCGTGTCACCGTCGCACGAGATCTCGCTGGTGTAGCGGGCTTGGCCCTCCCCCTCGCGGCCTGCTTCACCGGGGTGACAAGGTGCGAGGCACACTGATTTTGGTCTCTGAATCAATTACTGACAAGGACTGTTACAAAACCCCACTACAGAGAGAAAGAAAGCCATGGAGTTGCTGTACGTATAGCACGACATACATGTGCTATACAGGCTGGCGGCACATGGAACATGGCACGGGGTCCAGGGCTCAGAGGCATAGCAAAGAGTTGTCGCCAACAACATGAAGGTTGTTCTTGTCTTGTGGCAGGCAGGCTCATTGGAGAATAGACAAGTTGCATTTTGAG